TAATCGTTATTATGGGCAACCTAATGCGGCTATGAGTAAGGCTATTTGTAGAAAACACTAAAAAACAATATCAGCCTTTGGAAAAAATGATAAGATATTTACAAGAAATGTTGATTATATCGATCTGTTATGTGCATCATGAGTATTTCCATAATCTTTAAATTGGGTCTTTTAAAGTCAGAAATTATGACTGTTATTCGTTTTAAAATAACGCCTGTAATACCTAGCAATTGCTCGAATTCGAGCAACAGGGACACTAGTTTCATAAAATAAAAATAAATATTACAAAATAAAAATTTTTACTTAATCAACTATTATCAAATTAACTATAGTGAAAGGGAAAATCATATGTTGAAAAATAGTTCGAAACAAGAGAGACTATTAATACCAACCAACGCTGTTTTGGGTTATTCGATATTATCCACAAATAAAACTTCAGGAATTGAAATATGATAAACAGTGTATTTACAGTATCTTGAGTTAGTAGAGTATTAAAAAAATTATACTATGTATCATAGTAATAAAACAAAACTTTTGTTTTATTCTCTGAGACTATATTATTACGACGATTTTAAAGAAATACTTCTTTTTTGAGAACTCCTTTTAAACTTCATACCGACCACTATATGCTACCTACACAACGGTTTGATTCTAGAAATTGCAAGTCTGAATGTATAAAAATAATTTGTAAAAACTCAGAATGAAGGCAGGCATCATTAGTTTGGTTAAGGGCAGCTTCAGGTAGGAAGAATTATGGAGACCTCTGGTGCAGCCCTTGTTATAAGGGTGAGTCGTTACACCCTTCAACTTACTGCAATAGTGTCTCTTTACATTATGGTGTTGTAAAAATGAATGTGGCTTATTTTATGTGGTGGAATGTAATTCAAATATTTCAACAACTGGTTTGGGGAATCTGGTATTGTTTCTGGCTATAAACGTATTCTAACTTGTTGCCCAAGTTTTATTCGGGGAGAATCAATTCCTTATACTGAGCGGCTTTTGGTAATTAAAGAATTTCATTTAGCTTACCTATAAGGATTAAAAACTATAAAGTTTCTTAAATATCTATACTGAGAGACAAGTAGGTAGTGTTTTTTTTTAACAATAACTAGCTGGCCCGACAGACGTCGTCCTGTCCTATTGTGGTTTTATGTCACATGCTCGTTCATTTTCAAGATGAGCTCGTTCGCATGGCTCAATCACGTCCTGGTTGAAGTTCGTTCGCTACGCTCACTCATCTTTAGGTTGGAGCTCGTTCGCTGCGCTCACTTGCCTTCAGGTTAGCTCGTTCGCTACGCTAACTCGCCTCCAGGTTGAAGTTCGTTTGCTACGCTCACTCACATTTTGGTTGCAAATTAGCTATTCTCATAACTTAAAAAAATATAGTGCTGCACCCTGTTGGTAAACCTATTAACTTTTTAATGTTATTGAACATCACAGAATCAGATAGTTTATTTGAACCAGCTGTTAAGATTCTTTAATTCCATTTAAATATGAGTACTCATAAGGTTAACATGGGAAACTCCATAGCCACTGGGGCGGAGCCCTTTTGACGGATCTGCACCAAACTTCACACAAACCATCCTTGAATAATGCTTAATAATGCCTGAAATCTTCATTACAATCTGTCGAGCGGTTTTGGAGTCCATAAAGGACAAACATACAAACAAACATACATTAGATTTTATAGATATAGATAACAATATTTTTAAAAGCGTGTTCTCCAACTTATTTAAGGGGTGATTTTGCGGTGTTTCCGCCACTAAAACCCCACACATCAAAGTTATATTTTTTACAATAGTTTGGTTTTTATATTCATATGTTGTTTTATTTTTTTTTTACAACACATGAATACATTTTAGCTTGGACTGATTTTCTACTGTAAAGAAAACAAATATCTACCTAAATACGTAGAAACCAAAATGATCAAACTTAAAAAACGGATACTCAGCAATCAAAGGCATTTTTTTTTAAATTGAACTTCAACGAATAATTCCCAAATATCCAATATTTTTGGGAGAAGGGAGATGAGTGATCTGACATAATGAGAAATGATTGAATCTTAACGAGATATTGATTTACAAATATCGTAAACGCACATGTCGAGAGATAAGGGAAGAGAAAGAGACCCCCACTTGTTGAATATCCCCCCAACCCCCCTCTAGAATTAATCGTGAACAAGTCCCAATACCCCCCTCCATACTTCCCCAACCAAACCATCGAAACCACAATATTATCGATAGCCATTCAGTGGCTATGCTTTTTCCAGTTTGTTCAATATTAAACTTTGTGTCGTGTGGAAGCGTAATAGAAGTTAAATAATACAGTGAATGAAAGTGATAAGCTAATAAAATAAAGTTGTTGTTACGTATTATACTTTTAACCAAAAGATAATTTGATGTATTGTACTTATAAGTTTACTGTACACTGATTATTGTGACCATAAAATTAAAAATATACATCTCATAATTAATTTTTTACTAAATTTGGAAAATTTGCTATTTCCAATTATGAAATCAAATACGTTGCCCAAACACTATTTAATATCTTTATACTTGAACTGTAAATAAAGAAAAGACGGTGAATATACTATAGTAGTAATCAGTTACCAATATTAAGGATGACCATGAGGTTGCACACATTTGGCAGTATTGCCTTCAATTAACTTCGGTGCACATATTGGCAGTATTTCTAAACACATTGGACCAGATTTGGCAATACCATGACCGGTGTTGTCCAAATTGATCACTAATTTATAAATTTTTTGAAGTTTTAACCAGATACGGTACGTGGAAATATGTATCAACAGTGATGAAAAACGAACTGTATGCGACCCTGAAAATAGCTGTAGTTCAAACAATGAACAAATTCATTAGCTGTAGTTGGAATAGTTGTTGACAAGTAGGGATTTCTTGATTTTTTACTTTGGAGAAAATATAAACGATTAAGATGCTTGGGATCGATTAACGTTTCAATTTAAACTCCTCAAATACGAGCGAAGAAACAATGGTACGACAGTAAAGTTTTTTTAAACAGAAAATTGCTTGCGATCCCATTGTCAACAATGTCTAAAACAAAAAAAGTTTGTTAAAACGTTGTTAAAAATGCCTATTTTCCCTGGGTTTTCATCATTTATGAAAAACTGTTGCTAGTCCCGAATATTAATTTTCTTAAGAATATTTTAACTAACTTCGTGAATTGATTTAAAATCCCCAAAGAAAAACAAATGGTATATATTCATTTATAAAAACGTAAACCTTAAATATTAATTACTACTGTAACTGATAACCATATAAGTATGAAGACCGAAAACACCCGGTAAAACATTAAAACATGTTTGCACCTCCTTACTAAATGATTACTTAGACTAGTCCGCAAAGCATTGTTTACACATTAACCCGCCAAATCCCATGGTTTATTCGGCGATTCAGTTATTAGAGTGATGGGCTTTTAACAGAAAATATCTGCAATGTAAAATCCCCTACTCAATTATTACTCAAACAACAAACCCCCCTCCCCACACCCTTTCAGTCCCCTCTAAATGCTCATTCAGATACCATTATTGTTGGTACGTTAACAGACAAAATAAGGAAACTATGGCAGTGCGTTATGTTTTTAAAGAAAATAGTTTTCATCTCTTACTCAACAACTACTCCAATGATTACTAAAAAAGTATCCTTCTGTGTCCATGCAAATACATCCGTCCCACACCAAAATGTTGTTGACCGTTCGAAAACTTCTGTTGACATTATATGTGATCGAATTTCAGTTTCCTATTTTGGCAACACTGACTATTGAATAGCTGCCCATTGTTGCAGTTTCATACACCAATAGCCAGAGTATAACATGTTTACAAAATGGATAGCTTAAACACTGATCAACGTGTTAAAAATGCAATTTTTCTACAGAAACAAAAAATTTCACACAAAATGTATCGCGAAGTTAGAGAGAAAGGTATAATCAATTTAATCGTCCTACTGAGCTAACAGTTAGCAAAATAGTGAAGAAATTGAAGGACACTGGAATCATTAGTTGTGATTTTTTTGACATCGTGGAAAACTATCAGATGAGAATATTGCTATAAATGATGGTGTGAAAAGGGAGCCACAATAAAAAAATTTCGTCTGTCGTATATATTAGCTGTATCGTACGCCTCCCTTGTGTTTTGCATAAGAGTTTGCACATGCACTCTTACAAAAGTCTGTTATCTTAAGAACTAAATCCAATTGATCATGGACAGTGAAGAATTTACTCATAGCAAAACTTTTCGAAGAAAATATTCTTTTCCGATGAAGTAAGTTATTTCGGGAAATATATCTGGGCACGTTAATTAATAGAATTTCTTAATACGGGGCGTCTAAAATTCTCGGATCGTACACGGGACACTTTTGGAATAACTGAAAGTTGCAAGTAACTCCTAAAACAAGTAAGCCTAGGTAACTCCTAAAACTTGTCAACAATCGTAAAAATCTACTTCTGGGAAATTATCTTGTTGTGGAGGTTCAAAGAGACCATTTGACTGGAATAGTTTTCTACTGTAATGACAATTTTCAAGAAAAATTTCAACCAAATAATATATAAAGTCAAATGGATTGTGTTCTTTCTTGAGCTCAAAATACGAATCTGAAATTGGACATCCCTTTCCCATGGGTCAACAATGAGTAATTTCTAACAGAACACATTTTCAGGACCACTCTCTTTTTACACCTGATTTCTTACTCCAAACCAAACTGTTGATTCACCCGTTGTTTATACCTGAACAAATACGGAAGCCCTGGGTCGTCAGTGGGGTAGGCTAGGATCGATGGTAGGGGGTTGTGAGAGAGAGAGAGAGGGTGAGAGAGGGAGAGAGAGAGAGACTGCGTGTCGCCGTTGCGCCGCTCGCGCGTTGCTTAGCTACGAAGAGCAACTAGTAGCCAGTAGTACCACAAGTGTCATGTGCGTCAGGTGTGACAATCAGTCACAGTGACAAGTCGGTGTGACAAGTGACAAGTGTGACAATGTCGCTCACCCTCCGGCTCAAGCAGTTCCAGGTGGCCAAGTGCAAGGGGGAGAAACTCGCCAAAGTCGTCTTTAGAGGTACGACAGAAAAGTGGAAAGAAATTTGTGTGGAAAGTAATATTGGGTTATTTTTGATAGGATGTATGTTGAAAATTTTGTTTGAAAAATAAGTTTGTAGAGTTTAAACATTTTAATGTTAGTTGGATGATTTTGACGGGGTTGGAACGTTCATGTCGATTAAACTGTATACACCCTCAAGTTGAAACCACTGGGTTGAACTTTAACTATTGGCGTATTTGCTGACGATAAAAAAATGTAAATTTGTAATTTATCACCATTTGCTTGTATCTTTTACCGTCTGAGATAAAATGTGTCGTCAAAGTGGTTTCGATCGTTGTTGAAAGCGATTAAATTATTTGTAAATTTTCTCTTGCATGGAAATTGAGTTGGACTTTAATATTTAAGGTAGGCTATATACTTGTAGGTCGTAGCATAAAATCCAAACTATTTTTTCCAACTAGTAATTTTAGTATCGCCTTACACTTGTTCATTCGTTCATAACCTTAAAACGTTCACCACTCCAAAAGACATATCCAATTTATCAATCACAAAACCACAAGTACTTTTAAATAAACAACAAGTATAAGTATTTTTATAAATTTAAAATATTTTACCATTCCGATGACGGATGCAGTTTTGTTTTGCACGGTTGACCTATAACTGACATACCGGGCAAGGTGTGTCGTAGGCGTCACAAACTGGGTTACGCGCTCACGCACACAAACACGTAAATATACGTGAAAATACACACACAGACGTGGGGTGCGTGTTGGTGCAAATGCTAACATGGTTTATTCTTAAATATTTACATATGTCGTGGAAAAGGACGCTTATCGATTCCGATTGTTATAAGTTCTCATTGCGTGAATTTAATATTGTACAAATTCATTTAGTCAACGTATTTGATGTAGAATGAAAAAATTCTATGCAGTATATTTTTTTATGAATCAAACCACGAAATATTAATAATGAAGTTAGAATATTTCACAGTCTTTGTATCGAAACACTCTCAACATGTTCAACACGAAATGAAATGGTGATTCTCAACGTATTTTTAGTAAAAGTGTTTTTAACGTATACTTTTGAATGGTTAATATATATAAATTGAAATAACCGTAGTCCTTTTGTAGCAAAAAATCATTGCAGTATTTAAAAGACTTATAAATTGTACAACTATATTTCCCAATGTAATTTAAAAAGGTTGATGAAACACTCCACAAAAACTACCACTCTTGATCAGTCAAATACTTGGTGTTATATTGAAGTAACGGAAATTGATATACCTAGCTATAGCAAATATTTGAGTGGTATTTCTTAAAAGAAACGCACGAAAATAACTACTCTACAAAATTAAGTAAGGCCTTTATCATACGCTCAGTATTACTTATATTTTTGTAAAGCCCGTCAGTTGAAAAGACCATAATTGTTGTAGGTTATACCATTGACTATACGTTATACTGTAAAATATTAATTAAACCAAAAGGTCCATTCGTTTTAAGCTAAGAAATTGAATTTCAGTTCCCAAAGGCCTTTTAGCGAATTTCCCTATAGGGAAGTAGCTATTACCGTAGGTCTCATGGTAAGACTTAGGCCCGGGACCAATTTACTTTTTCATTTTAATGTCCCCAGAGGCCAAAAACACCATTCGTTCAAATTTTTATATATGTATATATATATATATAGATATATATATATATATATATAGATTTATATATATATATATGTGTCCGTGAACACGATAACTTGAGTAATTTTTATCCGATTTTGATGAAATTTGGTTTGTAGGTGTAAGGCGGGATAAACTTGAATGAGTTCGCGATCCAGCATGATCGGACCATGGGAACAGGGTTTTATGGGGGGTTTTATGGGGTAAAAATTGGTTTTTCTCACTTTTTACCCTCAAAACACAAAATTTCCCAATTTTTCTCTAAACCTTCTTAAAGAGCTTAAAAAAACAAACAATTCAGTATATCAAAGTGTTTTTGTACGGTTATTGGTTACGGAGAAAACTAAAAAAATGGTAAATTTAAAATTCCCATGTTATTCTTATGGAGAATATTGTAAAATGTTGTAGTTTGCTTGTTTATGGATATATTTTGATCAAACTTGGCAAATTTATTTATTTTATAGTAAGCTATCAATATTTTACTAAAAACACACTACTTTATTAGTTTCCTTGTAGCAGCAAACCTATGTACTCGTTAAACCTAATGTTATTTAAATAGATCAATTGAAAGTCAATTCGGCCAAATGGAAATTCGCTTAGACGGCAGGTTTGCTGCGGCGGGGGTATTTTCAATTGCGGACTCTCAAATTAGCACTTGTCAAGGACTTTTTTGATACCTTTGTTTGATTCTAAAGTAATTAGGAATAGGTGCATTTTTAATAAATTTTTGTTTACTTTAAATAAGCAGGTTCCTTCATTCCAAATAATAAGAGGACCTTATGAGGTCTCGAGAGCCTTTAACTTTAAGGTACGTCATACCATGCTAAATTATGGTAGATTGGTTAAATAAAATCATAAATAATGGCAGAATATTTTCTAAAACATTCTTGGAAAGTTATTTAGGATCCAGATATTCACATTAAAACCAGTATTGTAAGCTTCCAAGATGTATCTTTCAAAACCTTGTTGAGAAGCTTTTCAGTGCTTAAACTTATTTTCTTCTTGAAAAAATTCGAAATATTATTAGATTTATATTTGTGTTGCGTAGTTAAAGTTATGTTGTACAAATAAGTTTTGAAACTGGGATTTTAAATGCAAGACTATGTAAAATGTAAACAACAATGTTTAGATTTGTTTAAATGTGTATTTAGTTACTAATATATTTTCTATTAGTTATCTTCATTCATATTTAACTTAGAAGGTCACCTAAAAAATGTATTTTCCTCAGGACTAAGTAAATTAGTTAAGAGACTAAACCTTGAAGCAAATACTAATTTTACTGTCCATTAAAAGAGTATATTGGCTCTTTCATCTTAGATCGTTTCGTACCATGATCATAAAATAATTATTTTTCAATGCTTTGTTAAACGTTATACATACTAGGCCTACATACCAGATTAATTTGAAAAATCATCGTTTATAGTCGCATTGTACTTTGTTTAGAGTTCGTTGGTAATCATTTTTTTTTTAATTAATGTGTAAGTCTTCCATCTCCACGTGTTATCCTTCGTAACATAAAACTACTGTGAAGCAGAAGTTCAATTTCCATCTTACAGAATACAATATTATACTTTTGATAACAATAAATTGATAACCACCAACAGCGTATTGGGTAAAATACGATGCCTTCCTTTCACACTAACCATAACTAGTAATTACGAGAGCTCACCTAATGGTCGAAAACCCGACCAAAAGTATGTACAGTATTGTGCAAACTTCTCGATTTTCACCACACGCTGTAAATAAAACATTTGATTGAATTTGTTCAATTTGTTTTGATTTTCTTTTATATTTTGTTGTTATTTTGTCACCAACTTGTCAACCCATTGGACCCATGTTATTTTTTATTTTAAATTCATTTTTGAGAAAATTCATTTTTTCATTTTTAGGTTTTTGAGCCTATTTTAATTTCTAAAGGGATTCTGCACATCTACAGGAAAATATATTTTATTTGGTACGAAACGCGTGTAATTTGGTCCAGTAGTATGGTAAGGCTAGCTGTCATAAGTTTTGCAAAAGTTTTTTAGTATACAAGATTAAAAATGTAACTCAGGTAGTGTCACAAACAGCTGATCGTTTGAAATACTGAGTAAAGGACAGACACAAAGAATACAAAGAACGAAACTTTCAGGTTACATTCGTAATTGGGTGATGTTTACCTCTGAAATGGTAAACGGGTTTTAGATGTCAAAAACGGTAACGTAGGGAGAGATTATTGCAAACTAGATTCCTTATTCAAGAACAACTGTTTTTGAAGTATCGTTATGAGCCAAAGCTTTGTCCTGCGTTGTAATTCCTAGTTGTATATTTTGTTCTAGAAAGCTGGTATACCAAAGATTGCAATTTTGAATGTCCATTGGGCTTAGTTCAAGAGAATATCAAAGACATAAATATGCGGAATATGCCTATAGGTTGGTCACCGTGTGCTGTTTTTATTCGGTTCATTGGGTATCGCATTAGCCAGAAGAAAAACCCAATGACTTTATTGAAACCAGGGTTTTTATGTAAATGTAAAAACTGCTAAAAACCACCAGTGCTAGAGAAGACGTGGATCTGAATGTATTTTCTGCTATCACCATAAAATACATTGCACTTGGCATTATTTGACAACATGTTGTATTGATTTAGCGATAGTGCGAATCATATTAATGAAATGAAGGGTAAATACTATGTAATATAAAATATCTATAATTTATAGCTTTCTTATTGTTTTTGTTGAAACCAATCGACAAAATGTTTCTCATACTATGTTAATAATAGTTTATATATGTACTTTATTGACGGATTAAATTTTAATCCCTAGAGATATTGCCCTGTAGAATCTCTGAATATGTTAGTTTGGTAGGGATAAATATACAGATTACATTGAATTGGTTTCTTATAGATATTGAATTAAATAGGCTACCTTTCTAAATAACATATTGAATATCTTTCTTAACATTCGTCCAACTATAAAAAGGTTGTTGCATAACATTAGACTAAACCTACCAAAAATATTAATCAGAGTTGAGAAAATCTAAGTTATTTATAATAACTTATAATTATTGTGAATTGTGTACATTGAATGTTAATCTACAAATTTGTGTACAGATGCAGTGTGGAAATCTGATTAAAAGATAGTCTCCCTTATACGGCTAATTACTAACTAGGTGGCGTTCGCAGAGGCATCCACAAAATTGAGCGGAGTCATCGAGGGTTCATGTTATATTGTTTTTGTCATACTGCAGTAAAAACAGTCGTCTATGCGTTGCAGGTCTAAAGTAGCATTTTTACTCTCCAGGGAGTAAAAATAGTTTTTAGCCTCTATGGAGTAAACATCAGCTGTTGTCAACTCAGTTGTAAATTTGAATTG